CACATGGTAATAGAATCAGCAGATTTGAAAGGGACTTAGAATAAACAGCCAGAAATAACAACCAGAGTCCAATGCTAGTGGACACAAAGAGAAGTAGGCAGGGCTGTATCCTCTATGCTGTTCCCCAACAGTGATGGGGATACATGTTGAGAACAAATGACTGAGAGCAGCTGCACATGGGCTCTCTATATCAACATCTGCAATTGCTGCTGGAGGAGACAGACACAACTTTGTCACAAAGGTAGGGGAAGCAGCAAAGAAATCCTGTAGGCCCTGGAGATGCAATGACTACAGAAGAAAAATGGTCAAAATTATACAACTTATCATAGGACACGTGACCAAGTCATTACCATGAAGAGTTTTTCAACATTTGATGGAACATTTGTTTCATAGAAGCCATAATTAAATCCTTACTAAGGAAAAAGGATGAAAATCCAGGGAAAATCTGTGCTGGCAGGAACAAGAGAAAGTTGGTTTCTCTGGAGGCTGAGTGCCCATCATTGGAGTAAGGAGGAACTTACTGTTATTTGACCTTGCAAGGCACGTAACTTTTCTCAGAGAGATCTCTCAGATGAGAGAAATAGAGATCATGTGGTTTGATCTATCTGGTGATGGTTTTTTTTCTTCAGTAAGAATACAGCTTACTGAGAAGCACTGAACAAAAACAAAACACAGACGTGGTTATCACCATAAATCATTTCCCAAGAACTCTCAGGGAATTGCCCAATACTTGAAAGCCAGAGAATACACTCCCACATACGTTCAGAAAGAGTAATTAGTATAAGGGACAAATGAATTTTGCAAACTAATGAGGGAGCTAGGCAATTTAAATCATAGTCCATTCATTCTCTTCTTTTTCAGAGAAGGATGAAGAAAACCTGAGCAGCATATTAAACAGCTAGTTCTTGAATTACAAAGTACATCATGCCAAAACCACTGCAAATAGTCTTCAGATACAAAAAAGCACACAAAGTTAAGTTAGTGAAGATAGTTTATGATTCTGTGTGAGATACGTATGAAGAGAAACAAACAAACAAAAAATTAATAGCCAGAAATCCACTGTGATGGATGCCAAGATGCCAGAAGAGTTACTCTGTGCTCCAACGATATTTCAGATTTCCATCTGCACTGCACTCTCCACTTCCAGAGGGACAGCACTTGTCTGACAGCAGATGATGGACATGGAAAAGGCAATCTGACTAAAAGGCTTGTGTAATAATTGGATTATTTAGCAACTGACACTTAGTAGTGATACTCTGCTTTATCCTATCAAGATTGCAGCCCTTCTCTCTTTACAAAAAGAGGAGGTGAGAGATGTTGGAGGGGAAAGTCCCACCCCCGAGGTATTGTTACTGTCAACATCTATTTGACTGGAGGCCTCCAGGCCTGCATTGCAGGAAAAGACGTTTTTGGAAGCACATTCGTTCCTTTTCTATGAAAAAGAACGCTAGATGGTGCTATACTCGTGTTTGCATCTGTGTTCTGGAATGGCAGCAGCAGGAAAAAGAAAAGTTCAAAGGAAAAAACCAACTGGGACAAGATAGGTGATTCACACATGTAGTAGCAGAGTGATGTTTCCATATTATACAGTGCTGTCCCACTGTCTATCAGCCCCAGAACCTGAAACTTCTCATTCAAATTGTGGTAACAAAAATTAGGAATAACAATTCCTAATTATTTATTATACACAGCAGATAGTTAATCCATTTACAGGTTTAATACTATCACTGTTTAGGAAGTGGTCCACCAGTTTTGTTTGTTTGTTTTTGTGTGTTTTTTTTGTTTTTTGTTTTTTTTTTTTTTTTTTATAATGGCTATTAAAACATTCAAAACCAATTATTTTTAAGGAATCAAGTGGCCTATTTCATTTTGCCCCTCTGCTCAAACTATCACACCCTCAGACTGTACACATGTGCAGGTGTAACACTTCAGTTACAGTAACTACAAGCTCTGGATTGCTTTACCACCAACAAATTTGGTGGGGAAGAAGTCTCCAGGGTGCTGCCTCCAACCAGTGTTGACATTAACTTATGCAAACCTTTCCTCTGTTTTTTTTTTTGTTTGCTTGTGTTGGTTTTTTTTTTCAGTCACACCAGCCTGCCCTCATACAGCTCACACCCTTGGCTATGCCAACACAGCTGCTTCTAGGCCACAGAATGAGGCAGCTCAGAGATGTGACCCAGCTAAAAGCAACACCCACATCACCCCTTCTGCAGAAGTGAGGGACAGATTCTATCTGGAGCAGCTGTCTAAAATACCTCAAAAATCTCAGTCCCACAAAAATCTGCACACACATGTTGCTGGGACAGGCTGGGGACAGGAAATGTTTAAGCCAAATTTGTATCCAAGATAGCATGCCCAGTACAATCAGAATGTGCAGTGCACCTTCAGCTGTAACTGAATCTTCCCCTAGATCCCACGCAGCAAACACTGAATTGTCAGCAGAGCACTGGAGTGCCCATCTGCTGCCAGCAGACAGAACAGATCCAAAGAAAGCTACATTAATTTAAAATTCTTCATGTACCCATAGCCTCCTTGAACATTAAAAAACATATCACATTCAAAGGTTTAGGATGCATCATGGCCAACTCCAATTTCACTGCCATTCGCTGGTTACATTTGAGAAAGCATCACCACAGAGCACAGCCATTCATTCCCCAAGGATTTGTTTGCTGTATACAAGCCTTTCTTTGCAAGAACTCTTGCAGAAAACTTTTATAATAAAATCCAACTGTTAACCATAGACAGAAAGAAAACAGATCACCCCAATTGTTGTATTTGAAACTGTCTGCTCTTGGCTAAGCAAAGGCTCAGCATTAGGGAAAAAAAACACAGCATATGCAGACTTGGTATGAACAATTGTTTTCCTCTGGATATCTTAAATTATAACTGATGCTGACCTGCCAGGCCTACACAAAGAGTTCACATTAAAGCCTCTGACAATTCTTCCTCTCCTTGTGTCAGATGCATACAAGATACACCAGCATGTACTACTGACCAAGAAGAGATTTTGCAGAGCAAGTAGAAGACCAATTTCCAACTCCCAGTCTTTGCCCTTTGACTCCTTTACAAAGCACAACAAAGAGTTGAAACTCAACAAAAAAAATCAATAAAAAATACACAACAAACTGTTTCTACTGTAAATTTTACTGTCTGGCCTCCAGGTCATAAATGGTACCAGTTTACTGCTGCAGAACAGGTAACCAATATAAAAACGTTACAGGGTCAATCAGCAAACCACATTTGGCTGATAAGCGAAAAAGATGAGATTCAGAAAGTACATCATGCTTGAAACAGCATGAGGTAGGATGACATGCACTGACCTCAATTTAACAAAAACTACTTTAAAGAAAAGTTAGAAAAAGGTAAAACAGAGTTGGAGGGTCAGGACATGACCAACAGAACTTGCAATAAAGATAATTCTACAAGGAGCCTGGAAAACATAGCAGGAATAGATGAATAACCAGGGTTGAGGAGATATTTTTTTACCAAAAACTTTATTTTATATCGAAGCATATCTGACTGAAAGTGACGAATTGCAGGTGTGCTGCAAAAAGAACTGTAATGGTGTTCTAAAGAGGAAGGAAACAAAGGTTATAATGGAAGGGATGAGCAACTCCAGAGGGCAGGCTAGCTGTAAAAAGCAACCTTCCCTAAGAATGAAGCAGGTTTCTCAAACATAAGCAGCTATTCTAACCAAATCATTACTATGTCACCTTAAATTCTGGACTAGTCATCACAGATTTCATCTGCAATACCTTAACAGGCACTGCAAGTCTCCTTTTACTGCTCACAGAAGTGCTGCCTGCACTGTTCTGTTGACAGTTATCCTTAAAGCCATCAATCCAAAGCAGTAACTGTCATCTTCTCACACTTTCCCCTCTGCATGGCATGGGTATGTATGCCATTACTACTCCAGCATCCTGAAAAGTGAAGAATTCAGAGCATCGCTCCCCTCCTTTCTTTTCTTGAGAATATCAACCTTAACAACTACACAGCACATAGGCTGAGTAAATTTAAAGTATACTACAGAAATACCTGCCAACAGATTTCATTAACCAGTTCTCTGACCTCGGAGGATTCTAAAAATGGCTAGAAGTTACCTGGGATACAACTATCCAGCAGCCAATTAGAAGGTCTTATTTTTTTATTATTTCAGTGCTCACATTTCTTCTTTTTGAAAACTCAGCTGACTTCTCAAACACTCCCAGAAGACCCTGGAACTGACAAGGTCACTTGAAGCTAACAGAGTTCAGCTCAGCTACAACCCATGCATTTGGAATGGAAACTACCCACAATTAATTTCATGGCAATACCCATGACTAAACTGAGCTACAGTGATTATTCAAGCACAAAAGAATTGGGTCAATTGACCACAGAACTAAGAAGCTAACTCTGTTTAAAATGCCATATTTAAATACACATTCCACTTATTTGTATTAACTGTATGATAAAAAGGCATTTAAACTTTCATACAACGTGCAAAAGAAGCTCCTCCTTATACATAAACTTTTAAAGTTTCAGGACTAACATGACAAAAAACAGAATGGTTTTGAAAAGTGAAATGATATAAAGTCAAAACACTGGATGCTTCATATCGTTTCTCCCATTCCCTTCTGCCACAAATAAATTCTTATGTCATAAACATAAAAATCTCAGTTACGCTGAACATAACATCAAGCTGCAGTATTCTTTTCCTCTCATTCCTGACTCTGTTGGCTTGCTTTCCAGACATGCTCCAAACGGTTCAACTTCCCAAGCATGCAAGTATAGTATCCTGGTTTCACAGCTATCATCAGATGAACCCACTTGTGAAACCCCTAAGCCTTATAAAGAGTTGGCATTGAAAATTCAGGTACTTGTGAAACCTCCTACTAAATAAGTAAAAACATGCAGAACAGCAGCACCAACACCATCCATGGGCCAGATACAAGCTTAAGAACGGAAGCTTAACTACACATCTCCACAGCCTTCTCAAGATAAAATATATGACTGCTTACCAGTAATGGTGCAGGCATCTCTGTACTCTCTGCAGTCTGGCACATCATCTTCCACTGCTTCGCTTACATAGTGCTCTTCATGAATGCCTGTGTCACAGGCTTGGACTGCATGGTTCAACAGCTCCGAGGGAGGCACAGTGGCGGCCAAAGTGCAGTCGTGCAAATCTGTGGCGTCCAGCTTGGCAGGTTTCAGAGGGTTGTACAAACTGCCATCAGGGGGACCAGCACTGGAGACTGGGTCTGGCTGGCAGAAATAGAACTCCTTCTCTTTGCTGGAGTTGTTTTCACAAAGTCTGCAAAACACAAAAGGAACAAGTGCTTAATTCAAGCCATTCCAAACAGCATAAATCAGAATAATTTTCTTTTCCTTAAGCACTAATTTAACCTGACAAATTCAGCAAATCCTGAAAGCCAAATACAATATATAGAGCAGCTGTCTATTTCTGCACCTTGCAGGATTGTACAGAGCAGAAAATTGCTATTCCTTGTACAGTGTTATTTCCCAACAGCTAATTTTGCCTAACCCAACTTGGCGTAAGCTTGGTCCAGCCACCTTGGCTCACCACCTGCCTCTCTCTCTCTCACTCAAGCTGAAAGAGAACCCTGTGAACTAGGTCAGCCTCCTGCATGAGCCACCTCATGCAGCACACAGGCTGCACATCACCGTACATCTACTGATATTTCAGGAACATCAGAATTCAAAACCGCTTGTTACCAAACAATACAGAAAGGATTAGGATCTTACACTAATTGTCCCCCTCAGCTTATTCTCTCCACTGGGCCACCATGCACAGCATGGAGCTGCCTGTTCTGTTCCTGTCTCTGCTCTTCCTTTACACAAACAGAAGTAAAGGTGCACTGCATTACAACAGTGTCTATTCATCACTGCCCCTCAGTGCTTCCACCTCCAAGAGGGGACAAAGCCCATCAAAAAGGGATATCAATGCACCCAGCGAGATCAAATTAGACAAAGAAAAAAGAGGAGCAACTCCTTGCTAAAACCTCAGCTTAATTAGTGCCTTAGGAACAGGCCACGGAAGAGCACTCAGACTACAGTGGAAAAGCAGAGACCAAGTCAGCAAGATCACAGAAATGCTTTGGTCTGCAAGAGGTATGGATGCAATTCAATATGGATGTGCAGCAACATAATATGTTCTGTTTGGTGCTTCACTGAGAAATAGGAATAAAACAGTTGCCTGGGGTATTATATAAAAAAGTCTCCCTTTCATCTCTAACAGTAAAATAACATTATCTGCACGTATTTCTGAAGTTATGCTGAGGAGTTTGGCATCTTACTTTTCTGGCATTCCCAGTAAATAACGTTACTGCTTCACCAAAGTATCTATGACTATTTCTAGAAACTCTGCAAGACTGAAGCATCTCCCTCTAATCAGCAGACTGTGCATTCCAGACCTGGGGGAAAGTTTCAAGGAAATCGTGCACTAAATTATAGCAGTTTTCACACTCCCTTTTCTCAACCTTTTTTTTCCTCCCTTTCACTGCAGGCATAAGAACAACAAAGCAAAATTCTCCTCTCAGAGAGTCTCAGCGACGACTCATTTGCACTGAAATCTGAATACAACTGGAAAACTGGAAGGTAGCATTAACTCTAGAAAAAAAAAAAACGAAACCTCAAGCAGAAAATGACATCCTGTAAGATGTTCCTCAGTAACATATACTTGTATTTCTGCATGGCACTGGATAGCCTGGAAATAGTGCTCATACTTAGAGGCTCAACACGTGTATTTTCTAACAATCATAATAACTGCAGGAAGAAATGAAGTCCAATGATAGATTTATGATCCATACTCATACAAATGGTGCTGCTCTACCTCAGCTGCCGTGGAAGGAAAACTTCGTTCAAGTGTTCTAACAGAAAATCTTACAGTTGCCCTGCAGAGCATCCATTATCCCTGCACCACCCAAGTACACGCTGGGAAGGACAATGGGGTCACTTCGGACTGATTACTGCTAAATGGTCCCCATTCAAGTGGCTCTGTAGGAGCCAGAGGAGAGATTACTGATATTAGAAATCCGTCGTTTAAATTAAGTTGGAATTAAAATGCAAAGCTTCATTTTCTCTGCCTTGATGGTACAAACAGTTTAAGCTATAAACAAGAAAACACACTGGAAATGCAAGGACTGAATAACTAAATGAGCTCCGTTTTGTCATAGTTGCAACCACACAGCTGCGATTCACATTTGTTTGGGGAAATTGTTAAGGTAAGTCTGACGTGAACAAGGACATGGCTGGGAGCTGGCAACCAAACGTCAACAGGAGCGTTCGTGCTCTTCTTGCCATGTTTTCCCCTCCTCCACATGCCTTGCTTGGCAACCCCTGAGAGCCAGCACCATAAAAATACCACCAAATGAAACAACCCTGATAAAGTGAGGTGCGAGCTGTGTGTATTAGTCCACAAGAGCTCAGATTCCCAAAACTCATTTGAAACTTTTCTGGACACACTGGCATTCCAAGCCCAACACATCTGATCGTCTCTGCAGATTCATGAAGTTACATCCCATACAATCCTGACTAAAACAACCTTCACCCAAAGGTAACACTGCAAACTACATTAGAATTTGCAGCAAATGAGTTTTGTCTCCTTCCTTTATTCAAATTAACACCCACATCAGGGAAATGCCATGGGACTCAGCTTCTTCTTCCTTCACTGTAGGATACACCCCAACAGCTCAGCTTCTGCCTTTTATAACTGCACTGTTATGAGCAAATAAACAGAGTGACATTCAGAAACAGCCATCCATGCTCTTCCTTCACACAAGCTGTTTCACTGTTGGTACTTATGGAAGCTATAAACAAATAAATACAAAGACACAATAAAAATTACAGCCCCCCCCCCCCCCCCCAAAAAAAAAGTCCATTTGCCCTGTCTGCTGCAGAAACCCACATAAAATCAATGTGAGAAAGTCAGATTCCAGATTAAGGCAGAGAATTCACCTTGATGTTAGGAACTCGTACCACAAAGGGAACAAAGCAGGAATAAATGCATATGCCTGTTCCCTCTCAGACCTCATGGAATATTCTCTGTTTCCACACAGTGGGAAAAATGCTGTTTGGACTCTTCATCTATGAAGTCCATAGAGGCACTGCTTCCCAGCAAGGCAGAACTTAGCTACTGGATGAAGGGCACACTGTCCATTACCACACCTTTTAACTTTCATCTAAATTCTCCTATTCTCCTAAAGAAAAAAGAAGTTATAGCTGAGCAGTATTTACCATACTCCCAAGTCAGCCAGCCAGAAAGGGAGACAGATACTACAATTCCCATTATGAAAAATGAGTCGTCGCTGAAAAATTAGTATTCTTGTTAATCAGTCCCAACAGCATACACAGTAACTGGAAGACCATAAAAATGTCATTGCAGTGCTTCCTATTTACTCCTTCTGGCAGCCAAACAAATACACAATTTGAAAGCCAAAGTACAACTTTTCTTGATTTAAAAAAACCCATGCATTTAATTCCTTCTACTTTGTACGTGAACAGCAGCAGTGTAGGATGTCTGTGCCTGCATACAGGATTCAAATTTACCTCTTCTACTCTGCCTAGTGTCATTTAACTCACCTTTTGCCTCAGTGGCTGTATTGCACCATTTCCACCAGTCTAAACAAAATGACAGTTCATGGTTAATAAACAGACCTGGGTCTCAAAAAACACTTAAATTTGGGGTACGTTAACTTATTTCTTCATTGTAAACTTGTTTACAGAAAGGCTGCAGTTCTCCGAAGTTTACCATTTAAATGTTATTAACCATGTCATTTTGCTGTGTAAAATGATTTGAAAGAGAAACTTATGATAGCAGTCAACACAGATTTACCAAGGGGAAATCACATCTGACCAATCCAATAGCCTCCTATGATGCCAGGACTGGCTGCGGCTGCTTAGATAAGGAGAGAGCAGTGAGTGTAGTCTACCCTAACACCAGAGAAGCTTTTCACACTGTCTCCCATACATTGTTGTAGGTAAGCTTCAGAAACGTGGGGTAGATGAGTGGACATGAGATGGTTTGGGAACTGGCTGATAGCAAAGCTCAAAGGGTTGTAATCTGCAGCACAGAGTCTAATTGGAAGCCCGTAGCTAGCGGTGCTCCCCATGCAATGGTACTGGGTGCAGTCTTGTTAAACATAATCATCAATGACCTGGAGGAAGGCAGAGTCCACCCTCAACAAGTTTGCTGATGATATGAAGCGAGGAGGAGTGGCTGACACAGCAGAAGGCTGTGCTGCCTTTCACTGAGACCTGGACAGGCGGAGAGCTATGCAGAGCAGAACCATTGTGAGGTTCAGCAAGGGTAAGCTCCTGCCCTGCACGTGGGGAAGAACAACCACGTGCATCAGTGCAGGTTAGGGGCTGACCTACTGGAAAGGAGCTCTGCAGAGAAGGACCTGGGTGTCCTGGAAAATAACAGGTTCCCCATGAGCCAGCAGTGTGCCCTTGAGACCAAGAAGGCCAATGGTACCCTGGGATGCATTGAACAGTGCACGGCTAACAGGTAGAGTGAAGCAATCCTCTCTCTCTATACTCTGTCCTGGTGAGGCTACACCTGGAATGCTTTGTTCACTTCTGGGCTCCTCAGTTCAAGAAGGACAGGGAACTTCTAGAGAGAGTCCAGCAGAGGGACACAAAGATGACAAGGGGCCTGGAGCATCTCTCTTATGAGGAAAGGCTGAGAGACCTGGGGCTGTTCAGTCAGAGGCAGAGAAAATTGAGAGGGGATCTTATCAACTTAAAAATATCTACAGGAAAAGTGTCAAGATGAGGAGGCCAGGCTCTTTTCAGTGGTGCACAATGACAGAACAAGGGGGCAATGGGCATACACTGGAACATGGGAAATTCTGTCTGAACATGAGGAAAAACCTCATTACTGTGAGGTGACCGAGCACTGGAACAAGTTGTCCAAGGAGGCTGTGGAAACTCCTTCTCTGGAGATATTCAGAACCCACGTGGATGCTTTCCTGTGTAATCTACTGTAGGGAATCTGCTGTAGGAGGGGAGTGGGACAGGTTCACATCTGTTGGTCCCTTTCAGTTCCTATGATTCTGTGGCTCTGTAAAACCTGCACTTCAGAAGAACAGCAAGACAGGCATGAAGACTTGTTCCTGTAGACCTCCTCTGCACCACATACAGATTTTGGCTTGATTTTAAGCATTTATTGGATCAAAGTTCACTAGCTCTATGAAATCAAAGACTAGCCCTATGAAATGCTTCAATTCTACATACACCAAATACTATTGTCATCTAATAGTAAGTCCATCTACTTAATAGTTTGGATAA